AGTGGATATCAGCAGCTTCTTCCAAACTAATGGATGCACGTGAACGCATCCCTGCCAGCAAGCTCTGAATACAATGAAGAGCCAGCGCAACTTAAAAGTAGAGTGAGAAAAAGTCTACACAACAACCACGAACAGTGATGGGAAGCGAAGGCTAAAGAGATGGAAAAGGTGGCGGCGATTAATAACAGCAGACAATTATTTAGACTTCTTAAGGAAACTAAGGGGAAAAGGTAAACAATGGTTAGTGAGGCTATGGAGGAGAAGGAAGGTTTTGCGATTTACTCGCAGAGGAGACGACTGGAACGATGGGCAAAACACTCCCAGGAACAGTTTAACTGGCCTCCAGCCACTATTGCGTTGCCTGCTATCCAGTCGGATCCTGAATGGAACATTGAGATAGGCTACCCAACACTAGAAGAAGTCGAGAAAGCGGTAGGTAACTTGAAACGAGGAAGGGCGGCAGGACCAGACGTACTAACTCCTTACGTATGCAAGGATGGCGGTAAGGTGCTCTTAGTCAGGTTAACGAAAGTGTTAACCAGTATATGGGAATCAAATACGATCCCCTCCGACTGGTCTAAGTCACTCATCATCCCAGTCTTCAAGAAAGGCGAGAAGTCCTCTTGTGATAACCACAGAGGAATCAGCCTGACAAACATAGTGTCCAAGATCCTAGGTTCTATAATTCTCCGACGCCTGAGTGGAGCTCGGGAACAGCAAGCCCGAGAAAACCAGGCAGGCTTTAGACCTGGCCGTGGTTGTATCGACCAAATATTCACACTGCGCCAGGTCCTGGAACATAGGCATGCTTACAGACGCCCGACAATAGCTGTATTTCTCGACCTGAAGGCGGCATTTGACTCCGTTGATCGAGAAGTCTTATGGCAGTGTCTGTCACTGAAAGGCGTGCCTAGTAAGTACATCACCTTATTGAAAGCTCTCTACTCGAACACTTGTGGGCATGTTAGAGCCTATGGTGAGTTGTCCAGGGAGCTATACTCATCAAGTGGTGTCCGTCAAGGATGCCCACTATCTCCATTCCTATTTAATTTTATCATAGATATTCTTATGGAGGTTTCCCTCTCGTCACCTAATTACACAGACGTTGACCCAATCACAGGTGAATTTTCTTAGATCTAGAATATGCAGATGACATAGTCCTGTTAGGTGAAGACGCTGACAAGATGCAGAGTCTTCTGAACACTTTGAGTGGGAATTTGAGGATGTTTGGGATGCGTTTCTCACCACCATCACCATCACCAAATGCAAATTGCTGTCCTAGGATTGGTCTTCAACGGTGCCATGGCTAACAATACAGAGTGTAGTGGTTGAGTGTGTCGACCACTTCACTTACCTGGGAAGTGGGATCAGCCCTGCCCTGGTGGCTAGCTCAGTGGCAGATGAAATCTTTGCACGAATACAAAAGGCTCGATTGGCTTTCGCCAACTTACGCCACCTATGGTGCCGCCGTGATATCCGATTGCCCACTAAGTGTCGCATGTACTGCACAGCAGTCCGCTCTGTTCTACTGTATGCCTGTGAAACATGGCCATTGAAGGTGGAAGACATGAGACAGCTGGCTTCAGGTGTTTGACCACCGTTCCCCTCGTAGTATAGGCCGTATTCCGTGGTGTCACCACATGAGTAACACAGAAGTCAGACTCAGGTGTAGAGTTCTAGGGAGAAGATATAGTCAGTTGACGAGGTTATGAACCTTCATCGACTGAGATGGTTGGGACACGTTATGTATGCCAAGTCGCCGTCTGCGTCATCACACAATGTTGGCCGAAGTAGGTTCAGGCTGGAAAATGGTTCGAGGCTCGATGCCAGACTAAAATATGGCATCAATGTATGAAGTCTCTGACTGTTGGTTTGAGCCATGTGGGGTGATGCAGACTAGGTGGTTGGGGTTGGCGGGAAAAGAGAAACCAGTGGTTAGAGACTGTAGGTGGTGGCATGGCTGAAAATTGATGTCATTGGTGCACATGTATACACACATTGTCCTTAACGCTATATCGAATCTCACCATTTTGTCGCTCCTCTTTCCTTTCTTCTCGTACTTTATATTTCTTTTGACTGCGTTCACTTATCTTTATCCTTCACCTCACTACCTTTTTACTTGATGAACTGACGTGAGGTGTGGCAACTCGGACCGTTACGTAGTAATGCCTGGTCCTATGTCGATAATGATGATGATGATGATGGCTTCAGAAAGAACAAATCATATGCGAACCAAATCCCGACGCTACGCATCATCATAGATTACAGCATAGAATGACAGTCAACTGGATTTTCACCTCAACTTCATCGATTTTTATATGACCTTCGGCAGCGTCAACCAAGAAGTGATTTGGCAGGTAGCTGCTTCAACACTACGGTTTTAGTGTCACAAACCTCTATCAACCTCATTCAACAGTTATATGACGACGCCACATGCCGGGTGATTCACAATGGAAAGCTCAGTGACGCCTTTGACGTAAAGACAGGCAGGAGTAAGACAAGGTTGCCCACCATTACCGATGATCTTCCTGATTGTGGTCGACTTGAGTGGACTGGATCATGCAACAAACTGTGAGGAGCTGAGAGAAGAGAGAAGAGATGCATACGCTGTTTGATAGACGACAAGACCCAAGAAGATTTGGTATTGACCGATGATGACTTATGTCCAATATCGCACAAACTGGAAGATTTACAGGCAAAAACCAACAAGTTGACAGAGGAGGCAGACCAGCGAAGATGGGACTTCAAGTGGATGTAGAGAGGACAGAGGTGATGAAGATACCCAACCAACAACAACAACAAACACCAATCACCATCTATGGGAGAAATCTAAAGGAAGCAGTCCCTTCCACCTACCTAGACAGGCAGCATCGTTTCAACTACAGGTGGCACAGGCACAGATGAGGATGTCAAAGCCAGTATCGGAAAGACAGCAAGACAAACCTTCATTGATCTGAAATAATCAGTGTAGAGATCTACAGCACTCCACTCCACTCAGCATAAAGCGTGAACAAGATCCGGATTTTGAACACTGATTCAGTCGAGTCAGTGCTTCTATGTGATGGTTGAGAGGCTTGACGCGTTACGAAAAGCATTTCCAACAAACTGCAGACACGTCAAAAGCTGCCGCCTACACTCACCCGATACTGAAGATGGAGATCAGATGTCCAGAATAATAAGAATAAGCAACAAGGAACTCTGGTTGGCTGGCAACGAATTAACCACGAACCTATCGCCCAACAAATATGCAGGAGAAGAAAGTGGAGATGGACTGGACTGGACATACACTTAGAAGACCTTTCGGGTCATCACACATCAGGCCAGGTCGTCAAGTGGAAGCCAAATGGGAAAGGAGGAGTTGGGGGTCTTAGCCGAGGGTGGCATGGAGGAGATCGTGTGAGCAGTCGTGGAGGCAGGTTAAAAAATTGTAGAGAATATGATGAAATGGCGACGTGCTACTGAAGCCCTACGTTCCACTAGGAACCCAAGGGACAAATAATAATAATGATTGCGATTATAAGTAATCATTATTATTAGAACGCACACTGTGTGTGGATTTTAAGTTTTCAAAAATAAGCGTTCCACTTCAGTTGTTTAGGAAATGAATATCAATCAGTGGGCCAGGTGTTCGAACCCCGCTCTACCTACCGACCTTTTAGCAGCGAGGTATTATCACGAGCCCTCATACAATAAGCGTAGCTCACTGCCTATTGCACAAAATTGCTGAGTACGTTTCGTTTTCGGTCGTTCATATTGTTCATCGGCTACCTAGATCACGCATTCCTAGCTAACCGTATTTGAAGACCTTAACGCGATGGACATGAAAAAGTGCGTCATACAAAACAATAAGTTGGCATTATAAAGGCAGAAAATGTCGAAGGTTAGTCTGAAGAAGCATTCACTAATTCCATTCAACTGATGGACTATCACCTTCTTGATAAGTGAATCAAGTGGATTGTGATTCTCTCCCCCCATCCACCCACCGTCCACCCTCCACCCATCGTCCCAGTCGTCTCTGGGGGTGAACTGCAGACACATCCTCCTCTGTTGCAGTCTCATTATCCACTGATCTTTTCAAACCACTTTCCTCAAGTCTAAATAACTGTCTATAGTTACTTAATGCCGCTATCTTTTCCATCTCTCCAGCATTTGCTGCTCACTCCTGCGCATGATTATTGCGCACAATTTTTGTTAGTCTACCTTTCAGTTGCTTCCGCTCCTCACTGAACTCGGAGCCTGCAGGGATACATTCATGTGTATTCATTAGTTTACACGAGGCTCCTGAAATCCAGAGGCCCTTATTAACCACTGTCTGAAAATCACCCACGGTTTTCATCGCTGTTTTTACAGCAGAATGATGATGCTAGGCTTCCTCCAGATGAGTGCTGTCATTCTGTTCTAGTAAGTACCTAGCCAGTTTCTCACTAGAAGTAGCCTTAGCGCTGTTATTGTTAAGGTGCGCTCGCGACGGTCTTGTTTCCAAGATTTATCTACATGCATTTAAACCAAGGTATACATGTGCACGCTCTCCTAACGTGTTCCAGGAGTGGCAGTCTTACGCCGACCGTCTCCAGCGATAACAATAGCGATTCGGTCTGTTGGCGTTTACCGCTGAATTGAGTCCAGTGCATGCTACATCAAGCAATTTTTTTCTTTATGCCTGAAGTAGAAGTAAACCACTTAGGGTGTGATCCCTTCAAACGGGTAACCAAATTTATGCGAATTGTAAGAACAGATACGGGTAAGCTATCATCTGCGCACAGTAGACAAACACATCTTATTAGGACCGGTAGACGCACATGGTTACTCAAGAAAACTACTGATTGTCAGTACAATATGCACAAATGACACTAAATGAAGTGAGCCACAAATTGTTTGGCAACCAAAACACCACAAAACAGAATAGCGTCTCAAATTTAACCAACACAGACAACTCAGTATTATAAGAAACCAGTAAAACTTAGCAAAAGTTCAAATTAAAATTCAAACAATGAACAAACCTTCCATGTTTCTTCGTGAGGGACATCATCCAAACAAAGTCGGCCATCTGGACCAGTGGGGAAAGAAGATCTTCCATGCTATCCAGACAACTAGAATAGTACTATGTCAGCCTTACTTGCAACGGAACAGGCCAATGGATCAAATACAAATCCAAGTAGTCTAAACGTAAGTTCTTCAACGTATTTTCACACGCCTTTCTCACATGCTCCGGGCGGAAAAATGTGTTCCACAACTACGAAATTAACTAAAATCATATGAATTACCTTGGAAGTTATGAAAATATCTTCCCTTTTCAAACTGAGTTCCTTCATTGCATCTTCCAATGCTTTACCTATCTCTGCTTCATTGTTGTAAACATAAGCACAGTCAATATGACGATAGCCAGCTTCAAGGGCTTTCTTCACAGCTGCACCAACTTCACCTGGTGGACTCTAGAAGGAATATTACTGAAGAATGTTCCTAGCTTACGTTCCATGTGCCCAGGCCAATAATAGGGATAGAATGACCATTTCCATCTTTAAACAGTTCATGTTGGGCCTGTAACGCAAAATATTTATCTGTTAACTATTAAGCAACAGGTAGTTTATCAAAGCAAATGATTAAACTAGTGGATAGTTAAAAGTTTGAATGGAACAAAATTCACAACGATGAAAACAAATTTCTAATTACTTTATACCGTACCTAACACATGACAGGTGTATTTTTCTCTGCAAACCTTCAGGTTGTAGTAACCACTGCCAAAGGCAAGTGGCACTAGTGAAGTCGGATAGGTGGAGAATCAGATAAAACCAACTTAGAACTTTCTACGGAAGTGCATTAGTCTTAGTCTTCATGGATGTTCTTGTAGAGGTTTCCCTCTCGTCATTTGACATCGCAAGGATCGGTCTAATTACTGGAGAATCCTTGGTAGGTCTAGAATATACAGATGACATAGTCCTGTTAGGTGAAGACGCTGACAAGATGCAGTCTTGGACACTTCGAGTGGAAATTTGAAGATGTTTGGGATGCGTTTCTCGCCACCAAAATGTAAGTTGTTGCTCTAGAACTGGTCTTCAGTGGTACCATGGTTAACAATAGGGAGTGAAGTGGTTGAGTGCTTTGAGCGCCTCACTTAACTAAGAAGTCAGATCAGCCCTGGTAGGTCCATCATTGACCGACCAAATATATGCACGGATACAAATAACTCGACCAGTTTTTGCCGACACACCATCTGTGGCACCGCCGCCATATCCGACAATCTGTTAATGCTCAAGAATACTGCGATGCAGTTTGCTCTGTTCTCCTGAATGGCTGTGAAACATGGCCATTGAAAGTGCAGGACATGAGAAGGCTCCAGGTGTTTGACCACTGTTGCCTACGTAGCATAAGTTGTGTCGTGGTGTCATCTTTACTTCAGTCACAGAGGTAAGGAATACGGTTTTAGAAAGGAGTGGAAAGTCAGTTAGTTGACTGTCGTGAACCGTCATCGATTGAGATAGCTGGGACATATGTTACGCAGGCCAAGTAACCGTCTGCCTCATCGCAGAATGTTAGCTGAAGGTTCAGACAAGGAAATGGTTCGCGGTGGCCAGACTAAAAAATAGCATCACTCCATGAAGTCTATGACTGTCAGCTTCAGCCATGTTGGGAAATGCAGACTAGATGGTTGGGGGTCCACGTGACAATAGAAACTAGTGGTTAGAGACTACAGGTGATATGGCTGGGAACCGATGTCAGTGACTCAGACGTATCTACACATTATTTTTATCTTGACCACTATACTAAATCCAGCATCTCATTCCTTCTTCCTCTATTTTACTGCCGTTGACCGATATTTCTTTCTTTACCTCCCATCTTACTGCCTTGTTACTTGTTGTGCTGATATGAGGTGTGGAACCTGAACCAGTGTGCTGTAAATGTGCGGTCCCATGTTGTTATTGACTTGACAGATTTTCTCGAGGTCAGAACACTCTTCAAATGACAGTCCAACGCCGCCTTTAGGTCAAGAAAAATGTGGCAAGTATCAGCTATCAGTAAGTATCCCTGCGTCCCAGAACCTCTCAGAGGGTGAAGACACAACCGATGCACTTTCTTCCAAATCTACAACCTACTTGATTTACTCTAGTTTGTTTTTCTTCAGCTTTAAGGTGTCAGATAATTATAGACTCCAAGATTTGGGACACGGTGTTACTTAAGCCAATCTGCCTAATGTCACGGGAAGACGCCCTTCCTGTTTGTACACCCGAACAATTAACGAAACAAACGAATCTGATACGACTACTGATTTTCACAAACTACCTAGTATCTTGAGGACTCATTTTAGCACTGTTCTACATCAGCTGAGAAACGCCTCTGGAGGAAAACCGCAACATACTCTTGCTTTCCATCGTCACAGCATTTTGATAACGTCCGGAGAGGATAACACACAATTTTCGAGGCAATGGTCTGAATAACCACCATCCTACAGCTACTACCATTAACAAGCAGAAATAAGTTTCGAGTGTTTCCAAATGCTGATGCCTTATCCATATCCTTTCCTCTCTCTATCTATGGTTGCACGAGATCGTAGGGAAAACTCCAAGTCAAATTTCGCTTAGGCTGCCTTCGCTCCTCATTGTGGACAGGGAAAACTGGAATGAGTCTCTTCGCATCAATCAACTGGAGTGAAGTAGCGAAAGTCTACTGACTACTGCTAACTTCTGGATGCAAGTTACCAACTGCCTTTAATAATGCACAACCATAACTTCGATTGGGACAAAGTTAAAATATCACAACACGAGCTGGGAAACTGCAAATGAACTTTTAGAAGCATATTATTACGAGCAAACGGCGACCTACAGATATATAGACACTGACTGGATGTGCGGGATATCAACTATAGGTCAGACCATTGGAAATTTATCAAACAAGTCGACGATCACACATTAGATCAATAGTATAGGCCAAGTCGTCACAAAGGCTTTAACGAAGAACAAAGTCACTCTTTTCCACAGCCATATACCCTACATAAACCTTTAAAACACTCCACTTCTTTATGAAGTAAGTGCTAATGTTACCTGGTGAAAAACGTCGAAGAACGAAATGCCAAACAACCGACGTATCACATTTCTTTGCTTGTCATACCCATTACTCTCTTGTCTCTGTTCGGCTTTTGACGATATTATTCCCATTCCTGTTTTTCATCTTGTTGCACAGCTGTATCCTGAGGTGCTAATGTAATTAGGTGTTCGATATGAACCCTTATTTAATAACACCAGATCGCACTTGGATACTGACTAAGGGACGAAATAACACCCGTTGGTGCCTGTTTGGAAAACGGCGATAGCGACTGCTACTCACATCAGAGAAAGGTAAGAATAATCACTGGACCTTGGCACCTCCATACTATTTAGCGAGTATACGTGTGCGCACTCTTGCACTCTGTGCACAATAAAGGGTAGATGCACCTTTGATGTAGACCGACAGTTCACGTGGTGACTGTGAGCGGAGGTGAGTAGTGAAGGCTAAGAAGATGCACAAGGTTACAGCATTGTGCTATATTTTGCAATCATTCAGGAAAAAAGTGGAAAAGTCGGATCTGTAGAAGAGGGACATAGGTTTGCGATCTACCGGCAAATGCAAACACCACAAGGATGAACTGACAACTTCAACGCATTAGTTAGTTGGCCTCCATCTACTTTCCAGCAGCCGACCGTCTGACTGTTACTTGTAACATATTTAGATAAAGCCTAAAAGTCTTCCAGAATTTGAGAGTGCTGTCAGTAACTTAGAGCAGGGAAGGATAGCAGCCGCCTATCGTCTTGAAGCAAATGTGTTTAGGTATAGTCGCCGGGGATTATTGGTTAGGATGACTAAATTGTTAGGTGGTGTAAGTGAAGTAGATATGATCTCTTGTGACTGTTTTCAACCACTGATGTTCGCAGAGTGAAATGAAGTAAAATCCTCTTGTGATACCCAAAGAGGAATCAACCTCACGAACATAGTGTTTAGGATCCTAGGTTGTATAATCTTTCGACGTTTAACTGGAGCTCGGGAGTAACAGAATCGAGAACAAACTAAGCAAATTTCACACCTGATGCAATATTGCATCCACATGTCGCGGAGATAATGCGGGGGAATGCGTGAATAATGTAGTAAATGGCGTTGATATTGCGAGTGAGGCGCAAGTAATAGAAGTTGTGTCCAAAAATCTCCCTGAACCGTTGAAATAATGCAGATAGTGCTGAAATAAAGCTAGGATTTTCTGCAAATAAATCTGCGTTTACGCATGCATGCTTAAATTATTCTGCTAGTGGGTAAATTATGCGGATAGTCCGTAAAACTCCGCTTAAGTGTCACATTTCAGCATTCCTAATCAATGCATTGACCTGCATTACTTCCGCATTATTTCGGCATTCGTATTTGACTGGGTACCCAGTCGAACTTTTGTAAGTGCACCCGAAGTTGCTTCGGGATAAAACCCGAAAGTTTTAAGGTGCGCCTGAAGTAAATGCTGCCTGGGGTATGTGGAGGTACTAACATGTATGACACAAAATGATAAGGAAACACTATAACAAGACGAAAAGTTAGCGGAAACAAAAGTGTAGATGAGTTATGCAAGAAGCAATCGAGGGATATTTACAAATGAACAAAGAAAATGACGAGACTGACCCAATGTTAGGACTATTGACAGAAGGTCAACCAATTGGAAACTTATCAAGCAAAACAACAGCCTGACATTGGACAATAACATAGGTCAAATGGTCATAATAGCCATAAAGTTAGAAAGTAAGGAAGGAAATCATTCCTTTCCAAGAGACAAAACTTCTCGAATTCAGAAGGTGAACAGCTATTTTGGGGTCTTGTGTGTGCTTCTCATAAACACAGCACTCGCCCATGGTCAGAAATGTCGATTTTGGCCCGCACGGCTACTACCAAATGCATTTCGGATGACAGTCCCGAAAGGTCAGGCATGCTCTCTGATGGGATCAAATAGCTACTGAGAGTTACAGAGCTGGAGGGAAATGGAGATGACTAAGGAATATCGACGACGACAGGAGGAAAGTAGGTGTTTAAGGTTGATAATGACCTGCGGGAACCTGAACGCTGACGGGGTTGTGACGATGACTGACATCCAGGCTGCCCATGCTGTGGGCAGCCACACGTAGATTTACTACGAGGTTGGCCAATAACCAGCTTTGGCCAGTGACAACCTTGTATAAAGTACTGAGGCCGGAGTCTCGTACCATTAGATTTCGGTTAACGCAGGTGTGTAAAGAGAAGCGAACATATCGCACTGCGTTGTGATGCTATCAAAACTGGTATTCACCGCCGAAGATCGCTAAACGATATTGGGTGCATCCAAAGCTGCACATGACAGAGTTATTAATCGAATGCTATTCTAATCCATTCAACGCAATAATAGTAGTAGTAATAATGATATTTGTGCCTGAATATACAGGCACACACCATTTTTACACGTATGAACAAGTTTTTATACAAATTACATTCATCTTCAGGGAAGGTAGTCTGAATCTCTACCGGTTGTCACTAGAAGATATGTGCTGCATATTCATGTAATGGAACATCCCAGCAGAATAAATGTGCAGAAAATTTATAAGTTGGACAAGTGTTAGTACTGTCTTTGCATTAACAAAAAACCAGGTTTGTATCTAGACATTACAGGTATTACCTGGAGAAAAATAAAGCTTGAAGCTAATACTTCCATCGTAGCAGTTTGTACTTTTTGCTTGAGATAAAGATGAAATGTTTGTGAATTGTTTACAAATTGTACTTCATTAACGATTCCAGGACTGTATAATTCATCCATGTTAACACCATTCCATAATCTTGATGAATATTTTGACTGAAAGCCAAATGTTTTCACTTTTCCAACTCCAGCATCCAGGAGCAATAGACTTGTTTGGATACACCAAATGGACCTCCAGAATTTCTTGTCCTTCGTTTTCACGGGTTGTGACAGCCTTGCGGTTGTTGAGTGTTGGACTCGGCTGGTCACTTTTACGATGAGTTAATCCTAGATTTTGATGATTATGAAGTTGCAGCCCAGTGATCATTTTTATTTCTGCTTGTTGCAGTTAGGTATTCTGAACGTGGTAAAGCTGGTTACCCTCCATGAAGGGTAGTTTCAGCCGTGGTCTGTACCTTGAGTAATTGATTCCTGATGGAAACCAAGCCAACGTTTAGAACTGAATTATTTTTCTACAACGAGAAAAAACAGACAAAGCAGCAGGCAGAGAAGGCAAGAATTTCAACAAGGAGAGTGTTTTCTATGTTCATATTTCTCCCTACTTAACTTCCCTTGATATGGCTTTCATTGAGTACTCTTTTTCTGTAGAGTACTTAAAAATATAAATTTCATGCTGTCATGTGGTGTAGGATTTCTGTTTTTGATTACAGTGTTGGGTGGGGGACGATGTGCCGTTAGTTTGAGTGGTAACTTATGGAAGTCTCCTCAACGCTTCGTATGAAAGGTCAGTGTATGTGTGGTGGCCGTCTCATTACACATTAAGGAGGCCAAGTATACGAAGTGTCGTGAAGGAGACTGTTGGTGTATTCGACAAGCCGTAGAAGTCACTAGACGATAAGAAGTCAGCCAGTAACCGTCCAAATTCAGGGGTTGATTTGGAGGCCTTCACTTCAGCTGGAAGTCTGTTCCACAACTGAGAGAATTTGACTGTGAAGAAGTTTGAGCGCAAACAGGACTTGAACGATTTCACTGTGACGCTATGGGCGTGGTTGCGCAGATAGTAACAACTGTTGTGTTCGAACTGAAACTCACCACTGGCTGTAAACGTGTGTTTATGTAACGCATTAAAGAAAGCGTCAGGTTAATTTTGAGTTGTCTCATCCAAAGTGTTTCTAGACTTAGTGTTCTGCATCTGGAGCTGTAGTCTTGTTTGCAATCGTGTCCTAATAATCTAGCTGTGAAATACCTTTGGACACCCTCTATTTTATGTTTGTCTATTATGCGGATACCACTCAGTATAAATGGACAGTATTCTAACAGTGGACGTGCGCAAGTTTTGTAGAGTAGCAACTTGACTTCTTGAAGGAGTTACGAACTATGCAACCCATCAGGATCCTGATTTGGAGTCTGTGATGCTCCTGTTCAGAAAATGTAGGTCCCTTGAATATCTTAGTCCAGGTCACATCACTTTTAAGAATAGGAAGTTTTGTAGACTGAAGATGTAGTTGGACATCCACCGATGGAGCACCAAAACATATCCATCCACGTTTGCCTATGTTGAACTGAAGTCTCCAAGCCGTAGACCATGAGGATACTATATCCAGCTCCTCTTGTATTAGTGCTTGGAAGTGGGATAAATTATCACGGGTGAATGTGTATGCAACTTTTAGGTCATCAGCAAACAAGAATGGTTTGTCGTGTTTAAAGCAGCTGCAGATGTCATTGACGTATAAAGTGGAGAGAAGAGGACCTAATACACTGCCTTGAACAACACCAAAGGTGATTGGCCTAGGTTTTGAGGCGTGTGAATCTACCTTCACCACTTGAGTGCGATTACTGAGGAAAGACTTAATCCATCCCAATAGTGGATAATCAATTCCCATAGTCATTGACTTACTTATTAATAGCAAGTGATCGACTGTGTAAAATGTTTTTGAAATGTCTAGATAGAGTACAAGGACTAACTGGTGTCGGTCGCGCATAGTGGTTATGAAGTTCAGGAGGTCAAGATGGCAAGTTACACAGGACCTCGATTTTGGCAACCCATGTCGACTCGATGTGATGACGTTGCCACTAAGCATGTGCTGAAGAATGCTTTCTTTAACAACTTTCCCCATAATTCTAGAAACTACAGGCGTAATATTTATTGGTCTGTAGTTAGTGGCTAGTGTTGTTGAACCAGATTTACATCTAGGGGGAAAAATGAAAAAAAAAAAAAAAAAAAAAATGTGAAAGATTCCAAAGAGAGAGAAAATATTTTCAGTAATAATAATGGAATATCAAGGACACCAAATTTAAAGAGATGTGATGATATTCTGTCTGCGCCAGCGCTGCTGGAGCATTTAAGCGTCCTAATGGCTTGGTGAATATTAGTATGTGAATTCAACCGTATCTATTGTCGTTAGTTGAGGAGAAGAATAGCTTTCAAAAGTGCAGACCGCACTAGTGTCACACGAAAAATTTATGGGTTCCAGATAACTGACTGCAAATAAGTCGCTGAATATTTCACACATATCCACTGGATCATTATAAGCTTTGGTGTCATGGATAAAAAGAGGAATTTTATGTCTTGTGCAATTCGATCGCTTCTTAAGGGGTGCTGAGAGAGCATACACTCTAGATGAGCTAGCTAGTGCACGACTCTCTTCATTCTTCAAACGCAAATCATGGTTGTGCGAGATAGAGTTAAGAGTACCAAGAATCAGCCGAAGTGCATCGACGTCGCGATGTCTGTAGTATCTTGTTGAGAGTTTGCGTAACTTTGAGGGGTATATATGGCTTATTGTTTAGTGGCATTTTTTGAAACCTTTCAGTGGAACGATGGTATCGAGACAGGTTTTAGAGTTGTAGTAAACATATCAGTGGTTAATTTGAGGTCTGTAGTGGTGAAGAATGATCTCCAGTCAATGCACCTAATCATTGGACACATCTGCTGCCAATCCGTTCTCCTATAGTCTCTACATACTATTTGGTGTGTAGTGGAAGTACCAATTGAAGTACTAGTTGCAGGAAGTGGCAGTGCGCATAATACCGTATTGTGATCACTTCCTGGGAACTTGGAGCCTACATTTGTCAAAATAGGATTTATGTTATGGCAAAATATTAAGTCCAATACATTGTCACCCCTTGTAGGAGTTGTAACAATTTGCTTCCATCCAAAAATAGACAGTGTATGGAAAAAGTTGTCACACCTAGCCGGACCAGTAAGTGAATCCCACTTAATTTCAGGTAGGTTAAAGTCACCGCATATGATCATATGGGAGAGTGGATGCATGTTCCAGAGCCGTAATCAGTGGAATCTCATGATTGTTAAAGGTACCAGGTGCTCTGTAAACACATCCCACCAGTGCTGTAGCATTCCTGTAGTGTACTGTGACCCATAGAGAGTCACTTACTTTATCAAGAACCATATTTTCCAACCTGAATACGGTGAGAGTGTTCAGGAAGTACATCAGGCAACCTCCTCCTTTCTTGTTACTCCGGTCACATCGGAATTGTGTATACATGTCAATACTTATCTCTTCATCTGGTATATTTGCGTGACACCAAGACTCAGTGATAATTATTACCGGCGGCTTATATATGAGCGCGATTCCTCTTAATACCGATAGTTTGCTAAGGACGGACCTTGCGTTTATGAGAACGATGTACAAGTAGGAGGAGTAGTAATGTGTAAAGCTTTCTAGTTCGCTAAACAAACCCAAAGGTATCTCAGTGTCGCTTGACTGAGTATAGTCTGACGTCGTTGCGTTACAGAACGTCTCTACACCTTGTTCACTTGTAGCTGTAGAGTTACTAGGATATCCTAGTGGTAAATCGACCGCACAGTGACTTGAAATAGTATCACCTTTATCAGGGGAGAACAGAGCAATGTTTTTATTTGTGTTCAGTGTGCACATTGTATCCAAATAAACAGAGTTTGACCTCATGCAAGCGTCGTCTCTAGTATCTGTTACACAGAGGGTAGGTAGTT